GCATACCTAAAGAGCTGCCTTATCGATTATCAACAAATAAGTACCTATCAGTCCACCGTTATACGAGCAAATCAGTAATATCATACTAAACCAAAGGAAATTAATGCAGTGAGAGAAACAATGCCATGCTGCAGGAATTCATGGTTGCAGCTCTCATTTTGCTTTTCTTCAAGGATATAAAAGCAGCTAACGGAGTGATTAGATCCTTCCACTACTCCATGGCTCCAGGGATACCGGTTTCAACTGAGATTGCTCAATCTGATGGTTCAAAAATAAATACACTTTAGTAGTTATCAATGTTTTGTTAAACATTAGCTTGCAATTTAGAGAGCTAGACGGCATATCCATTGAATTTGCTAACGTAACTACGTATTGGGATACATGCACAGGTAAAGATTTATGTGTCAAAAGGTGAAGAAAACAATTACTCTTGCTAGCACATATTATACAATTTTCTTCACTTCACTCAAAATAATTATCATTCCTTTGGGAAACAAGACACCAATGCTAGTTCATACTTTGGAGATGTGATAAAACCATGATGTCTTTTGCACAATCTTGAAATACTGAGTACTCTAATTGTGAATGACAACCTACCTTCCAGACCAAACAAATTGACTGATAGTGCAAACAAAATATGTATGAAGCGGAATTCACATAGAACTTACAAATACAGAAATATTTATTTTGCAAAGCTGAGAGTCCTCTTACAAAGAGTCATTTTCCCACTACTTTTCATGCCATGTTTTTTTTTTCCACCCACGACATTTGATATCCAATGTCGTCAGCATGTGCTCCTGCAACCAGGTCCTTCTAATCCCTTCAATTTTTCAGAAGTACCAAGACAACGAACAGCCTCACATGCTAGCAACCAGCCAATGTTCCTAAAAAAACAAAGAGTTCACATATTGTGCAACACCCCCGATCAAGTATAGAAATTCCAACATATTGCACAGCTGCAATTTTATTTTAATTGACCAACATCAAAATAGTCTATGCTCCATTGGTAAGTAGGAAAATATGTTAACTCATGAGTCATGATATGCTCCACTGGTAAGTAGGAAAATTGTACCAAGCTTCAATTGTTCAGCACTTCCAAAATCAAAGCAAATTTATAGATAGTTTCTTCCTTTTCAATATTTCACTAACAACATAAGTTATACATTCGATCAAAAAGTAGCTTGCGCAGGAAGAGAAGGTAACTTGCCCAGCGGCTTTTTAGTTGTAGAGATAGAGATTCATCAAGAATATGTTGGAGGAGGGGGAAATGATTTGTACTGCCCTTGAGTTAACAAGAATATGACGGAAGCAGTGGCCTTCGATGGAGGCGGCACCTCGGTTGCCACCCCCACTGTGCCCTCCGCTTCCTCCAATGGGCTGCTCATTGGGGACCTTGCTAACTCGTAAACGTCATCGTCACTCCCGCTACCGCCTTCTCAGCCAGTGCCAATCGCCCCCAACGCTGACCTTCAAACCAGCTAAACAAATAACTCTTTATTAGTAGTCACACAATTATATATTTATCTCTATTTGAAATATTATATTTTCTTTGAATGTGCTTTGTCAAAGTTTCACTTTGTAAACTGTGTCTATGTCCTAAGTGATTTGCATTTGAAATATTATGAGAACCATGCTGATGTGGGTTGCTGCTCAATCGGCTTGTAGTTGCTACTTTCTAAACACTGTAAAGGTGATATATGTGCTGGATTCTCCTTTTGACGCACTACTTATGGGTGTATTGTGTGGGACCTTAATAATTAGTGCTGTTGGCAGGTACGGTGCTGATATTTAGTTCTAGTTGGCATTTGTTTTAGTTAGCCTTTTGTTTGGGCTACTGAAGTTGATTGGATTATATTTCTGCAGGTGGGTGTTTGTTGGGAACAATACTGTTTTGTCATAAACACATAGTGTGTAGCATTGCTGAAGTGTGGTTTTCATACGTACAAGATGCTTGAAGTATTCTCAAAGCAAAGCAATCTTTATATACTCCTATCCTATACCATATTCTATGGGTAGACGTTTAAGAATATCCCCTTTTTTGTGGTCTGCGGTGAATGCACTATATAATGCTTACACTAGTGATGCATCCTTTTGTGAGTACGCCACTGGGAGCATCCATTGTATTTGTTTTCTATACAAGAAAAAAAAATAATAGGCGCACTAACCAAGCTTAGCAAGCAATAGTGAATTATTGATGTTGAACATGCTGTTAACGCTCAAACCATTTTCCTTTGGCAGCTATCAGTGAGGAACTGCTTCATCAGGGGCTCGGTGGTGCGGTACGTGCTGCTCCCACAGGACGGTGTGGATATCGACATCCTCCACGACGCCACCAGGAGGGAGGCGCGCGGAGGCTGATCGGCACCGCCGGACCGGCCCTCACCAGCTGCTTCCCCCGGGACCCTGATCTGATTGTACGAAACATGCATGCATGGTGGTGGTGTAGGCACAGATGCTGAGTGGCCGAACACCCCCACTTAGTTATCCACTAGTTAGTTTCCTGGTACAGTAGTACTTGCCGTGATAGACATTCCAGGTTGGGTGACCTATCAGAGAAATTTTGATATTTAACCCTTAATACGTGTGCCTCTCTACACCAATTCACACGTCTTTGGAAATTTGACTCTGAGCATGCGAATTGTTTTGAACCGAGAAATTTCTCTCATTTTCTATTTTCAGTATTCTGTTCTCACTACTCATGCCATGGGAAAAGACAAATTACCCCGGCACGTTGCTGAGCACGCAGATGTGGGGTAGCTACGTGGGGAGATCCAAGTTGGTGGTGAGGAGTGCGTCACGCAGACGTGGGGTAGCTACTTGGGGAAATCCAAGGTGGTGGCGAGGAGAGCGTCTTAGAGCGACACCTTGCCAGTGTACGCGGAAGAGTGTGGGCTCCTTCGTGCAACGACGACACCCATTGTGAGGCTCGGGATGGAGAAGCCAAGAGTCGTGGCTGCTGCGCACCTGACGACGGAGAGGACGGGATCAAAGAGGTCTGCGGAGGCGGCCTCCGGGAGAAGGTCGAGGAGAGTGGCGAGCACTAGCTAGAGGCGCACGGTAGTGGGGGAGGATTCGAAGCTGCCGGCGCCGAGGAGGGAGACGTGGGCGAGGGCGAGGGCGAGGGCGAGGATCTAGAGGCCACATCTGTCGGTCCACAGAAGTTGACTTGCGGAACCGAGCGGATGTACAGTGGTAATTTGGTCTTTTCCCGTGGCCTAAGAGCGCGTTTAGTTCCACTAAGTTGAAATTTGGGGCTACTGTAGCACTTTCGTTTTTATTTGGCAATTAGTGTTCAATCATAGACTAATTAGGCTCAAAACGTTCGTCTCGTAATTTTCCACCAAATTGTGTAATTAGTTTTTTTTCGTCTACATTTAATGCTCCATACACGGGCCGCAAACATTCGATGTGATAGGTACTGTAGCACTTTTTGAGAATTTGGGGTGGAACTGGACACACGCTAAGTAGTGAGAAGAGAATATTGAGAATATAAAATGAGAGGGAGGTTAAAACAATTTGCAGAGGTCAAATTTTCAAAGACATGCATTGAGGACCGCGTATTGAGGGTTGAATATCGAAATTTCTCGTAGTGTCATATGTTATGGCCCTGCATGTTCTGTTTTTAGGGAGCCCTGCATGTTCCTTGTGGGTTGTTGTGTGGCAGTAATGTTGTTTGATAAGGGGGTCCCACTGATTAGCTGTGGTGTTTCGCCCTTCTGGCCATGTTTTCCTTGAGACATACTATTTTATTGATGGCATGCCTTGCAAAAGCATTGTTAATTGACTGGTTGGAGATCGGCATCAGTCCATGCTGGAATGGTTGTAAACTCTAATGGAACGTACGGTACACAAGGCAAATGGGATTAGAGGTAGGTTCAAGGGCGGAGAGTGTTGGGGTCACTGGTGCGTCTAATTTCTATGAGGACGATCTTGAGACTGAGTCACATACAAGATATGAAGATTCTGCTCCATATCATTATTGGGCACACGTTTTCTAACTCATATGCACATAGATGGTGAGTCCAGATCACGAACAAAGATAGAGAAGGATGCGAGAACATTGTGATTTTGTAAGTAAAAAAGATGGATGAAATAATCACTATGCTATTTAATATTAAAAGTATAGATACAGATTAGGTATGAATATGGATATAGATTAGATACATTATATACTTCTATCTATATAGATAGATATTCCCTTTATTCCAAAATAAATGATGTTTTTTTACTTTTAGATTTTATGTTTGACCATTTATCTTATTCAACTTTTTATATAAATAATAAAATAAATATGTCATTATTAAAATATCTCTAATAATAAAATAATACTTATATAAAATTTTTGAATAAGATTTGAACAGTCAAACAAGATGTTTATAAAAAGTAAAAAACATCATACATTTTTTTGGGACATAGAGAGTATAGATAATATAAAATATTAATATAGATTAGAAGACTGCTTGCTTTGAGATATGTGCTCAGAAATTGGTCGGCACTTGACAGCTGTTTGATTTTCTCGGAGAAGCGTCTCCATCACGAGCGTTTTGCAATTCATCCTCAAGAGCTCGTTTGGTTGGGGGTAATGGGAAGTAGGGAATGGGAGTTTAGAGATATGAGTTTATAAATCTCTTCTTTGTTTTGTGAGAAGGGGAATTCTGGTGGGAAGAGGAAGAGAAGTTTAGAGAGCCAACTCCCACTAATCAATTCTCTAGGGAGGGGTGAAAATTGGGTGAGAGTTGTGTTCTTAATCAAAGAAAAGTAGATCCGCACCGTCCGTCATAATTTGCCTTTTAATTTCTCTCTCAAAACTGTCATACCGAACAGGGGATATGAATTCACTCTTCAATTTCCCTTCTTATTTTTCTTCACGAACTAAACTAAGAGATTGGAACTAAAAGTCATTTCCCACCTTAATTTAGTCAATCAACACCCGGCACTGGTTCCCGTGCCTCTTCGCACATAGCTGCCAAACACACACCAAAAGTTTGTCGATGTTCGGGATGCCGCCCCCCTCCTCCGCGGAACGCCTCGCCGCCCACTGGGTCGCTGATGCCCTCGCTGCCGATGAGGCCATCGATTTCTCCGTAATAAAGAGTAAGCTACAAGCCTTGATCGCATCGGTTCTCCTTCACTCCTTCGTTCTCTCACCTAGGGTTCCTGATGCTCCGCCAGCGCTGGTGGACCTCTCGCCTGAGTACCTCATCGGCGCCCCAGATTCCGTGCGGGAGCGGCTAGCGCTCCGGGGCGTCGAGGAGCTTGCAACCTTCGCAGATGTCGACGAAGGTGGTGCTGCGGTGGCGCCACCGCCTTCCAAGATTCTTAGGGTTGATGCCGTCCGCTCTTGCGAGGACTTGCTGGTTGAGCTCACCGGGCAGGTATTTAGTGTTGGTTTGATCTCCCAACCACAGTGGCCCAACGGCCACTTGGGCCTTGACCTCGCTTACGATCGGGGCGCCCACCCATCTATGGTCAAGGCGGGCCCCGTCACATCACAAGATTAAATAGAGGTGGGGTCGGCGGCTCTCAGTGACGAGGTTCGCTGAGCCGTCGCCCCACCTAGAAACCCTACTCCGATCTAAACAGAGGGCGCACCCAAAGGACGGAAGCACCACCGCCGCCACTGCACTGCGCCACCACGGTCTTCACTGCGTCGCTCTCTCTTCTTCGACCGTCGCTGCCTAGCGCAGAACTTCACCGATGAACCTGATGGTCGGATCCCCTACTCAATGGATGGCCAGTGCCTAACCCTAGCTCTTCCTCACCCTCTCTATCCCTCTCCGTTCACACCATTACTATGAGAAACCCAATGAAACCCCACTGGATCCACTCCTAGATGATTCAAACGATATAACATTGGCATCAGAGCCAGGTCCCTAGGCGTGTGATCTAGATCAGGGCAAAGAAAAGAAGAAAGAAAAGAAAGAGAAACGAACTTCGGTTCCAAGAAAATGTAACCCTAACCCTAAAGAAATTGGACGGTCTGGGGAAGTCTTACCAGGGCTTCCCTGCTGCTGTCACTACCGCCTCACGTGGGATGGGGCACCCGCCGCCGGCTTGCTGACGTGCGGGAAGAGAATCAAGAGAACAGCAAAGGAAAAGAACGGATTAGATCCTTTGGATCTGAGCAGACAGAAAGGGTTCCTTAACCCTAACCCTAACTGGGTGAAGATAGAAGGGGCTCGGCCTCAAGATCGCTTGATCCGAACCCTAAACTCGTGACTCGAACTAGGGGAAGAAGAATAGGAACCGAAACCCTAACCCTAGATCCAATCCCCATCCCCAAATCGGTCAAAATCGAGAGAAGCAAGATCCAAATAAGCAGAAACGCAGAAGGGGAAAAAGAAAAGCAAGGCCGGTGGCTTACCTCACCGCTGCCATCTCCGCCGTCGTGCGGGAAAGACCGGACTGCGCCGGTGTTCGTCGCCGAGAAAGAAAAGCAAGGCCGGTGGCTTACCTCACCGCTGCCATCTCCGCCATCGTGCGGGAAAGACCGGACCGCTCCGGTGTTCGTCGCCGAGGTGCATCCGCGCGGGTACGGGTACAGGGCGTCGACACGGAGCCGCTTGACGGCGGCGCGCTCTCCCGATGGGGAGCGCGCGCCACCGCAAGAAGAGGGCTCTTGATGGCGCCGCCTTCGCTGCCTCCTCCGTGGCGGCTCATTGTCGCTTCGAGATGCGCTACTGCTCGAGAGAGAGAGACGCGCGAGAGAGAAAGGGAGAAAGAAATGAGGCTAGGGTTCTGGGGTTGCCGGCCGCGACGCCGGGTTTTGTTCGGGCGAAGAGGCCGGGCGACCGTCGGATGAGCGCGGACGGTGGAGATGAAGCGGCCACTCAATGCACAGACAAAGTGGCGAGCGCGCCACTTGCTTTGTTGGCCCAGCCCACGCTATGCGGCTGGGTGGTCTGCAACACGCCGCTGCGCGATGCCAAGTTGGGCCGGGCCATTTTGATGGTTGGGCCACAGCGCAGTTAAAGTTTAAGCTATTTTCTTTTTCTAATTTTTCCAGTGATAAATGGCTCAAAGAAAATTGGAAAAGAGAATTTTCCTGTGAGTAAAATTCAACAATTATGTTCATAGTTCCGCTGCAAAGTTAGAGGTTTATTGTCTTCTAATTTGAAGAGCAGTTATAGTTATTCAGTAAATGATGAAAAGTTTATCCTCCAGTTAAAATTGGAACCAAAGAGAAGAAAAAAAAATAATTAGAGGAATAGTCGGTTTATAGATAAGATGAATTATAATATTGTTATTTTCTGACCAACGTTGATGATAACAATATTATAAGTTCATTTATGAGTTTAAGCTTAAAGTTAAATTATGGTATTGTTATTTTCTGACAAACGTTGATGATAACAATATTATAATTTTATGAGTTTTATGTTTAAAGTTTAAATCTCTGATAATTTTGCATCAAAGTGACCAATTTTCAGAGAATAGATAAAGATCAAAGAATGCTCTTAAACTAGAGAAATGTATTTTCATGTTTCCGCTGCAATGAAGTTGATTGTCTTCTAATTAAATTCGAACCAACGGGAGAATTTAATTTTGAGGAGCAGTTCTATGTTTTCAAGATTATTGAATTTCTATACGTTAATTCCATTTCTACCCAACGGTGATGTGGAATTAATATAGAAGAATGATGTTTTATTCTATTTCGGCCCAACGGTGATATAGAATAGAACATAAAGATTTCAAAGTTTAATGAGCATTATTGTTGAATATTTTTTCAGACAAAAGACTTCCATGATTTCATTCTTGAAGGCAGTAAGAGAAATGAGCTGGGTACTTGTGACTCAGATGATGAAATGCCTAAGGGAAAGTTATGTATGAAAGAATGCCATTGTTTAAGGGACTGTGTTCTCTTTAAAGAATGGCTTCAAAAGAAAAAAAACATTCTAGGATATTGATAAAAAAAAAGAGATAGATCAATGAGAGTCTTCATTGAGAAATGTCTTTTATGTACTCTCTGTGAAGAAGAATTTATTTTTAGTTGCACTTATGAGAGTAGTAAAAGTCACATGCATGTTTAATTTGACCAATGTCAGATTAAGCATGTGTATTAAAGAGTATTCGGATTTATTTCTGAATTTGATGATTGAACATGAGTCAATCATGGCAATTATGTTTGTTCAAGGAAATTATCTCGCATGGAGGGAAAAGTTTATTATAGTACCCGCATGGCGGAAAAAGTTTGAGAAAATACCCGCATGGCGGGGTAAAGTTGGCATAGTACATATGTTAACCAATCCTGCATGGCGGGAGAGTTTGGCATAGTACTTATCCCGCATGGCGGGAGAAGGATATGATGACTCATGTGCTCTCAGTGTATTTCGCACTTAGAAAGAAGTTTGGGGTAGCTCTTATGCTATCCTAAAATTGACCGTACACTCTGATTGTGTCATGGTCATTAAGTACTCAATGAGTTTAAGAACAAAAGAAAGTTGCATGTGAACCAAAAGATAAGAATGATATGCAAGCGTGACTTGCAGAAGTATTGATAATAATAGACTAAGTTGAGTTTTGAAATGTAATGAGGAAAATGTACTCCCATACGAATTTTGTTTGCATGATGTAATCATGTGGATGAAATAAGTAATCAAAGTTTCCTCATTAACAAGAGTTCTGAATGTTTTTCGAAATTGTGGTAGAAAAGTTCATACCACATTTCGAGAGGGAGAAATGTAAGATTAATTAAGAAAGACAATTAAGAAAGATACTTCCCCATACTTCAGATAATGCAATGCATACTATGCATTGAAGGTAAAAGTGATCTATGAAAGATGAATGTGATCGTTGAGGGAGTAAGACGGTCATAATAATGATACCCCTAAAGTAAAGAAATAGCTAAATTCCTGGACCTTTTACAGTTCCGATAGGAAGATAGCATAGTCAGCTAGTATTTATACTGGATGACGTCATATGAGTTTTTAGCAGATTAAACCCAAAATAAGAAATTTAAAGATACACCATCTTTACAGAAGATGGAGTAATCTGGAGGAGCATGGTATGTAGATACCTAAAGCTTGAATAGAAGTGGGATTACATATCCACTATAGTGTTTAGAGCAACAAATTGATTAATACATGTTGATGTTGTATGACATATACAACACCTGATGTTAGCTCTTAAAGAAGATGAATAAGTAAACACGGATCTTATGATAGGGAGGCTATAGAACATTTGCCTTTTGGCAATAAAGAGCAACAATAGTCCCATACGAAAGAAGTGCCACGAGGCTTCAGAAGGTCTCAAAGAATAAGAAAGAAATTCAAATGGAGGATAATTCCACCTCATTTGAAAAGCCATGAGAGGCGTTCACTCGTCTAAATGGCAAGAAGTAAAGGAAGATGAAATGAAATCGATAAATACCAACGATGTTTGGGACTTAGAAGAAATTCCCAATGGAGCCAAAACAGTAGGCTGTAATGGGTCTACAAGACAAAGGTGACTCCAAAGGAAATATAGAAAGATATCAAAAGAGAATATTGAAAGCTATAAAGCGCCACTTGTAGTGAAATGATTTACACAAAGAGAAGGAATAGATTATAATGAGCATGCAATGATTCTTTTATAATCATAATGGTGTTAGTGGCACATTACGATTTACAGTTACACCAAAAGGATGTAAAGACACATTCCTCAACGGTGATTTATATGGAAAAGTTTACATAGCATAACTCAAAAGGTTTTGTCATAGAAGGAAAAGAATGTAAGGGATATTGCCTGAAGAAATCGATTTATGGATTAAAGCAAGCTTCAAGATAGTGGTACTTGAAGTTTGACAGTACAATAAGAAAGTTTGGGTTTTTTAAAGAGAATGTAGAGGACAATTGCATTTATGCAAAGGTTTAAACATGGGAAATTCATTTTCCTAATCCTGCATGTGGGTAGCACCTTGCTCACTAGTAGTGGTGTTAATCTACTGTTGGAGAAGAAGCAGTTCTTGTCCTCAAGTTTCAATGAAAATGGTCTTGGTAAAGCGTCATTCGTTCCAGAAATTGGAACTTACCGAGACAAAAGGAAAAAGGGGTATTAGAACTATCTCAAGTGTATACTTAGAGAAGATTCTAAAGAAATAAAGTATATATGTGAATATACCTACGCCTATTCCTATAGTTCAGGGTAATAGTTTTCGGAACTTTCAGTGTTCCAAGAACGAATGTGAGGTCGATCGAAAGGACGTCTTATATGCTTCAGCTGTTGGAAGCTTAATGAATGCTTATAAGTAAGAACTTACCCTGACATAGTTCATGTATCCAGGATGTTTTGGCAGAAGTCCAGTCCAGATATAGATCACTGGAATGGAGTTAAGAATGTTTTGCAATTGTGCAAAGATTTATAGGCCTCATGGTGAGTAAGAAAGAATAAGTACTCTCAAATAATTGTAGGTACAAATGTTAAATTTTGGCGAGATGTTTAGTGAAACCCACATAATAGCTAACACTCGTAGTTGGAGTTTTATTGTGGAAAAGCTCTAAAGAAACAGTTGTGGTGTCATCAAAGATGCATACCCACAGTATAACTTGATATAAGGCTTAAAGGACAGGCGAAATGGTTAAAAGAACTTACACCAGGAATTGATAATGGTATACAACAGCAATAACCATTTAAGTAGTTCACTCTTATAACAACGGGTCAAGTGTGCTGCCAAACACATTGACGTTAAAGTTATACGTTGTGAAGGAGAAAGTCCGGAATCATACTAAAAGTAATGAACATAAAAGTAACAAGCAAGTGCTTGCGGATCCGCATACAAAAGGCTTACCACCCAGTGTGTTTAAAGAACACACAGTCGACATGGGTTTATGGTATAGCCTATGATTTCCAGACAATAAAGGGCCTAAAGTTAAAGAATTTGTTTCAGAACAGAGACGTATATTGTAGCTGTTAAATCTATCGGCGATTGACCGTGACGATGAAGTATGCTTTATGCACTAATCTGTGATGGAACAAATAAAAGTGAAAGGGATTAAAGTCAAAGTTTAAAGTTAAAGTATGAGTTGAGATCAAGGGGGAGAATGTTGGTTTGATCTCCCAACCACAGTGGCCTAACGGCCACTTGGGCCTTGACCTCGCGCCCTGATCGGGGGCGCCCAGTCCATCTATGGCTGGCGGGCTCCCGTCACACTGCGCATTAAATAGAGGTGGGGTCGGCGGCTCTCGGTACGAGGTTCGTCTGAGCCGTACGCCCCACCTAGAAACTATACTCCGATCTAACAGAAGGGCGCAGCCAGTGACGGGAAGCACCGCCGCCGCCACTGCACTGCGCCACCACGGTCTTCACTGCGTCGCTCTCTCTTCTCCGACCGTCGCTGCCTAGCGCAGAACTTCACCGATGAACCTGATGGCCGGATGCCCTACTCAATGGATGGTCAGTGCCTAACCCTAGCTCTTCCTCTCCCTCTCTATCCCTCTCCGTTCACACTATTACTACGAGAAACCCAATGAAACCCCACTGGATCCACTCATAGATGATTCAAACGATATAACATTTAGTGCCTATGCAACCATGTGCATTTTCGTTGTGGGTGTTTCTGACTTCTGATTTGTGTATCCATTTTATCAAGTGAAGAGCTTGCATTTCTGTTAATGTTGATTATTTTACCCCGTCACTTTTGGAACAATTCGAAGGAAGCTATATAGTTATTTGTTGTAGCCACTTGGTTTCTGTTTCGGTTGAAACTGTCCTGGTTTAGTTGTCAATTGTGATTGGTAGAAACTTTGTGAGAGAACAGGGAAATTCACTAAAACTAGGAAGCCTGTGTTTAGGGAGGATAAACAAATGTATAGATGTCATCCCTGTTTTCCAAACTTAATAATCTGGACAGAGTATCTGATCACAAGCTATTCTTTTTTGACCAATGTCACCGTCACAATGGGTTGAAAGAAAAACAATTGGGATAGATCTGTAGCGTTTTCATTCCATGATAAAAACTGAAATTCACATTTTAACGACAACAACAAAGTCTTTAAGTCCCAAACAAGTTGGGGTAGGCTAGAGTTGAAACCCAGCAGAAGCAATCAAGGTTCAGACACGTGAATAGCTGTTTTCTAAGCACTCCTATCTAAGGCTAAGTCTTTGGGTATATTTCATCCTTTCAAGTCTCCTTTTATTGCCTCTACCCAAGTCAACTTCGGTCTTTCTGTGCCTCTCTTCACGTTACTATCCTGGCTTAGGATTCCACTACGCACCGGTGCCTCTGGAGGTCTCCGTTGGACATGTCCAAACCATCTCAACCGATGTTGGACAAGCTTTTTTTCAATTGGTGCTACCCCTAATCTATCACGTATATCATCGTTCTGAACTCGATCCCTTCTTGTATGACCGCAAATCCAACGCAACATACGTATTTCCGCAATACTTATCTGTTGAACATGTCATCTTTTCGTAGACCAACATTCTGCACCATACAACATAGCCACTGAATCAAAGATTATCTTCAACAAGTAACTGAATCTATAATTTTTATTGATGATTCAAGAGTAATCATATGATGTGTAATCATTTTTTGATTTGCTCGTCATTATGATATTGAAATTGTGGAGTGTACTTCATCAAAAGTGCGAGTTCGATCTAAAATTGTGGAGTGTACTTCATCAAAGTTCGCCGATGCCCATCTTGCAGCTCTCGCTGCCATCTTTGTATGTAAAGCTGATGACAGCTTGTAAGTCCATTCAGCGGTGTTGTTGGCTGCATGGACAGCCGTGTATTGGTCGGGTCGTTCATTTTATTTTGTCTCCATGACGTGGTCGTTTAGTCCTATATAGAAGAGGTGCTGCTGGTGGTTGTTTGTAGTGATTGGTGGCGCGTCTTTAGCTAAATCCCTTGCTAGGTGTGCATGTGCTGGGTTTGGGAGAAGGCATTCTGCATCTATCCCTTGTATTATTCACCTTTTTCTTCTTAATTAATGAAAGGACACACAGCTCTCATGCATAGTTCGAGAAAAAAATATATGATTCCAATTTTTAAAAAAGAATTACTGCATTGCTTTACCAGGAAATTATTTGAATGCTCTATTTAGTGCCTAAAGATAGGGATATCATCTTATTTGTCATTCATCACATAAGATGCCATGTATACCTACCATGGAAATGTTACAAGTATGTGGCTACCGGCTACTGCTTATTGGTGCTTCTTTGTGATTCAAGTGTAGCTTGGCTTATCATTTGTGAAACAATCTTCAAGCATTTTTTAATTTTGTTTATTGTCTTCCAAAACTAAGACATTTTGCAATTTGGTTGTCAATTGTCATCAAGTCGTTCCAAGTTTCCAGATTCAAGGTATATGTTACTTAGAGTGTAGAATTTGCAGGTTGGAAGCTCTGTAATTCGGGATATAATTCTGCCTTTTAGACAAGATATTCAAAACTTTATTTGTATCAAGAAACCTACACTACCAGAATCTTCTTTGGAATTGGTAAGTTGCAAAGGTATTTTCAAAATGAAAAATTTGGAGGTCTCCCCAAAATATTACCAAGCTGTTGTTTTATATGCAGCTCAGAGAAGTGGACCCAGAGATCCAATCTATGGCTGCATCATCATCAGTGGAGCAGAATGGTATCAAGAAACACGACAATCATCAATCCTTATGCAATGTCCACCATCTTAACTCAAATATTGATACACCTAGGCCCCCTATTGCCAGTACTGAGCTTCAGCCTGGGAATTTAACAAATTTAGTCAACAACCTTGAAAAAGGTCATTTCAAGCAGTGTCTGTTGATGTTGATAAGCCACTTGAAACAGACAGAAGGTTCTACAATCAACCACGGGAATATGCTATAAATGCTGCTAGTGTTGGCACAAGGGCTTTAGAAAAGGATCCTTCTAATGTGGACAGTAACATGTCAGGTTCTTCTACTAGCTGCAATGCGACTTTGCAGGGAAACATTGCAGAACCCTTATCAAAGAAGAGTATGGTAGATGAAACTACTGTGGTTCAAGCACAACCTTGTAAAGGAAAATCACCAAATCCACCAGATTATAATAATGTGATAAAGAGACCAAATGATGATGGCATCACTTATCAATCATCGAAGGATCCCAGACATGAAAGCAAAAGCTTGCAGGCTACGATGACTCCAGCTTTTGACAGAAGCAATGATGTTTTACCAACCAATATACCTGAAGCAAGCGACTTGCCTGAGCCTATTGCTACAGAGGATATAACAATGGTTCAACAGCTGCATAGCTGCAAAACTCACCTCAATCATCTGCAGCATGACAGTGGTCAGAAGGTAAACCAAGACCTGGATGGCACCGTCAGCATTCAGCCTGTTGAAAAGTATTCCATTCATGAGGAATCAACTCTGCGGGCTACTAGCGTTATACCCTCTGTAAGCTGCAATGGTGCTATGCAAGAAGACAAATCTAAAACCAACTATCCATCAGGCAATAGTACTGAACATCCTGCAATTTTTGAAGAGCAGAACTGTGACAAGTCTCAACTGGAAGTTAGTAGTACCGACAAAAACAAACACTCTCTGCATGATGATGCCACCATGTTGGGAAAGAACAAGGTCGTCTGTGGTGGTCTGAATGTGCAGGGTGCTCCAGAGTCTCATAGCTGCAATCTAATTTTGCATGATAAGATTTCAGAAGCCCACTGTTTATCTGATCAGAACATTGGAAAGAGCACAAATGACATCCAGAAACTTTCAATCTCTTGTCAGGATGGATACAGAAAAACAGCAAAACAAGATTCAAACAAGCAAACCATTGGGAAAACTGCTGCAGAAACATCACATGCCCATTCCTCAGATGATAGTATCAGTGGATTTGCTGCTGCTTGTCTGCTGTCAATGAGTGGCAAAATTCCAGTATGCAGCCAGGATCAAGAAACCAATGATTCCCTCAGGGTCTCACCAGAACAAGATTTATGCAGAAAATGTGGAAAAGGTGGCCAGCTGCTTCAATGTAGCAGCTGCTTGTTATCTGCTCATGACAGCTGTTTTGGTTCATCATTGACATTTGAAGACCCTGGACAGTTATATTGCCCAGTATGCATCTGTGCTAAAGCCACTGAAGAATACAAAAAAGCAAAGAAATCATATATTGAAGCTAGGAAGAGCCTATCTGCTTTCCTTGGTGCAGAGCAATTGCTCAAGCAACACGAGCAGCAAACTAGACTGCTTCCAAGAGCCGTCTACAGCGAGGGCCAATTGAATGGACATAATAACTCATCAAAAAAGCAAACTAGCGTCAGTGAAACCACAGTTGATGACCTTGCTCATCAGGGTGAAGAGTCTAATCGGCAGCGGAAGAAACAGAAAATAAATGTTACAAGTGATGCTTGTAATGAGGTAGTCATTGAAAAGGCATCTTCTGTTGGGAATTCTGATGTGGCACCCATGAATGCTTCTGTGCTCCAGAACAAAAGCAATCAACTTCAGGATGCAGAACAAGACCATGTGGAAAACACAGAGGCTCATGAGGGAAGTTCATCTCAGAACAGATGCAGTCCTGCGGCAAATCCAGAAGTTGAGACTGACAAAGAGGATGGCCCCACACATTCTCATAACCAGTCTAAAGACTGATGAAATAGAATTTACATCTTCAAGTGACTCTGGCAAGCCATCATCACCCCCTTGGCGTACCATTAAGCATCACAGAGCAAGACTACAAGAGAGAGAAGCAACAGTATCATGTAATTCTACAAAAGCGTTTGGGCAGAAGGATCAACACGAGCCTTTACCATCAAGGAAACGGAATTATGCATACCCACCCAAGCGTTAAGTTTTTGAATGATGCTTCATAAGCACTTCTTTCCCTACTTGTATGCACACTTACTGCAGTTTGCATAATGCAAAAAGTTCTTTCTTTTTCAAGAACAACTCTATTAGTTTAAAACCAAATGACATTAAGCCCACTGATTTAGATGTGCGATAAATAAACCTCTTGTAGATAAGGCTCTGCCATGGGCGTTTGCTTAAACCATTTCCACAGTTCCGCTATTTGGCACTCTTAGTTCAGCCTCCTTGAATGGCATGAGTAACATGCTACTGCTCCACTTTTAGATTGCTTCAACTTGAATGTCTTAAAATGTTTCTGATATGACATTATATAATGTCATCATAAATTCATAATGATATGATGGAGCCATTTTTATTCTTCGTGAGTGAATTCACATTCGTGACACTATCTACATGAGTTATTATGAATCGACTCTTCACACTAATGGAGTAAATGAGGAGTTTTTGTGAGTTCACCAATCATTTTTGTGAAATTTTGTTTAGACTACTGAAGTTAGGTTGCATATGGGGATGATATAGCCAATGCATTTCTGTTGGGTGTCAATAATTGTTTAATAAAGTATCGAACAATGACACCTTTAGGACAGTTTTATTGTCATTTTTGAGTGATCTGTTTATATTATGATGAAAAATATGTATATGAAAATGTACCATTTTACTTGTGTCAAAAAATGTACCATTTTAGTGTGTACTTTCTCCCAATAACTGAGCATGTCCATTTGGCAGTTCCAATCCTGCTGTGCCGACTGGAAGGCGATCCAAGCTTTGTTGGACAGTAAAGGAAGAAGCAGCTCTAAGGGTAATAATGATTCTTTTGTTGTGGGTTTCTATTTGATTTGCTCGCTCGTACTAGATATTTACTTTTCATTGTGCTGATCCAGGAAGCAATGAAAATATTCACCCCACGGGACAACGGGCCTATTCCGTGGGTTCAGATACTGGAACACGGCAGATACGTATTTCACAGGACACGCCTCCCAAGTGACCTGAGGGTCAAGTGGAGGAACATGAAAAATATAGGAGACGTGTGACACTGACAGTTTCACCCCCAGATCCAACCACCAAACCACGTCTAACCCTTCCCTCACCTTATATTGGCCCCGTTCGGCTTGCTGAATGTTGGTTGAAAGTGGCTGAAAAACACTGTTCTGGCTGAAAAAAAAAAAAAAAAAGTCGGATATAAGGTAAGCCGAACGGGGTCATTCCTCATGTAAGAATGTAAATGCATTGTGCTATTCTCGCCAAGTAGGGACCAGAAGTCTTCGTCGTCCAGCAGTTGATGTTCATGCATGCTAGTCTATGATATATTTTGTTTTGGATCCTTAGGAAACTAGGAGAATTGCCATTAGGAAACTAGGAGAATTGTTTTTTTTGTTGGGAAGCTCGTCGGACTGTCATCCGAGCAACATCAGGCAGTTGACTTTTTCCAGTCTTTTGCGCTACTTTGATCTACTGGTATCGGTTTTTTTTTCTGTAACTTAGAAATATTTCTGTGATCGCTGCCAGTAATAGTATGGCCGGTTTTGGTGCGCAACCAGCATGCTCTTACTCACAATTTGGTCAAAGACGCGATGATGGAGCAGGAAACAACGGATAATGATGCCATCGTTGTGGACGATGATGTGTGCCTTGGACATTGGGCCATCTGACAGTGTCTAAAATTTACGATGGACAGAGAAAACTACTTCTCGGTATTAAATTATAAGATATTTTAATTTTTATAGATATATTATTTTTATTATGTATCTAGACATAGTGTATGTCTAACTGTATAAAAAAAATTATGTATCTCAAAAATCCAAAATGTCGGCATTTTGGAGAAAATGTACCAGAATTTCACAGGAATTAAGTTATTTTCACAAAAAAAACATAGGAAACATGAAGATTTCCTCCATTCTTAGGGTCTTTGAGCATCTCCAATGTATGGAACCGTCCAGTTCTTATACCGTGACGTGACTTCACATGTTAAACTGGTCAAAATTTGCCATAGTGTATAGAAACATATCTTGACTCTATACATGGGACCCACATCATTAAAAAATACATAATCCGATAAACCACCTCTTTCCCTGTCTCCCACCTCTCGTCCCATCGCTCTCCTCCGAGCGCATTCTCATCTCCTATTTGGACATCTCTGTCTCCTCCCTCCTCTCGTGGCTCCTCCAACGTCTCCTCCCTCCTCGCGCAGCTGGACGCCTAACGGAGCTGCCGCCACTGCCTGGAGCCTATCGCTACCTCGATGTATGCTGCTTGGAGCCTAGATCCTATCACCGCCCTCCTCTTGCTGCCCTTTGAAAGATCCTTGTTTGGTTTTGGTAATTGAGTGACAACCTAGGTGGACTAATTGTGTTTGAATGAGATACACAGGTGATTAGTCCACAGGCACACTTGTGTGAGCAACCTATGCCATGGAGATGAAATGACTTGGATATTGCAAGGCTCACACATGTGATGAATGAGCTCATTGCATATGAGGTATGACATGGAGTCATGTGACTAAGGTGGAGAAGATCAAGACAAGACTTGGCTTGATGGACATGGAAGCGTGAAGGGCAAGTTGGAGGCTTTGGAGCGATGGACCACGTGGCGGTGAAGCTTAGGCAAGACTTGGTGCCGATGGACGAAGGCAACGGTGAAAAGCAAGTGAGGTCATGATCGATAAACCAATAAGGTCACGTGATGATATGAAGTGGATCATATCATTTGTTGATCAAGGTTGGTGCATGTGTTGCATCAACATTGGAGTAGATCGAATGGAATGGGCAAGGCAAGGGTATAACATATATGACATTTCATTTTACCGGTCATAGGTGTATAGAGAAGTTTATGACCGAGTTTAGGATAGATGGTTGTACTATCAAGAGGGGCAAACTTATTTGCATATCGGTCATCTAGTGCCACTCGAGTGATCTAACTTCTCATCGTTGCTAGGATCGAGTGGCGTGGTGAATTGAGTGACTAATCATTTGGGAAATGTTTGTAAAAAGCTAACATACGTGCACAAGATAGTGAACACTTGGTGGTGTTAGCACATTTACAAAGGGGTTGAAAAAGGTGAAGAAATGGAGGCGAAATCGGGCTCAGGGTGCTGCCCTGGGGGCACCACCACCCCTATGGCGGTGATCGGTTGGAGGAGGTCGAGAGTGTGATGTTGGGCTGGCACCGCCATGCCATGTCCGGTGGCACCGCCACCCCTAGGGCGGTGCCCACCTGGATTTGGTTTCGAGCAAGCAGCAGCAGGGATGTCACCGGACATGACGGTGTACACCGCCATGTGCAGGGCGGTGCATCACCAGGTGTTGTTCGGTGGCACCGCCACTTTTTTCTAGAGACATGGTGTTTCAGGTGGCTGGCTAGGTGGTCACTGCCACCCTAGGGGCGGTGCCACCGCCACTCTGTTCGGTGACCTAGCCGTTGAAATTTGACCGTTGGGGAGGGCACCATCATGTCCGGTGCCAGGCACCGCCGTGTCCGGTGCCCTCATAGAAACCAGCAGCTTTGCTCCACCGGCTCTATTTGGCTTGGGGGCTATAAATAGAGGTGGAGCTCGAGCATTTGGCTGGCTGAGCACCCTTGGTGGCTTGTGTAGGTGTGCTTGGGAGCCCTCTAACTCACATACGCTTGATAGTGATCATCCGATTGAGTGTGAGTGCGATTCTAGTGTGATTGCATCGTGAGGTTGCATCGAGTGACACTAGGTGATCGAGTTGCAAGCCGATGGTGCTTGTTACTCTTGGAGGTTGCCACCTCCTAGATGGTTTGGTGGTGGTCTCCGTCGAAGCACGCAAAGAAGATTGTGCGGTGCTGCAAGTGCATCTAGCCCTTTAGTGGGTTTTGGTGAATTGAATGACAACACCATTAAAGGTCTAACAAGTTTACTAAGTGTTGAACAGGAAAGTGAGTTTATTGCATACACTTGTGGATTGTGCAATGAGAAGTGTATAAAGGCTCAACAAGAAGACAAACTTAATGATATTACATCTAATGTTCAAATCAAGGCCAAAATTGTGTATTGTTGTGTTAGAAGATCATGAAAACAATATAATTCAAGCAGAAGACAACAATGAAAATGGAATTGTTGAAATGGCTCCTATATTATGGATATCATTGTATCATGAGAAAGGAAGCATATTTGGCAAATGGTAAATGAGACATGAGTTGATGATTTTGGATTGGTCTCAATAATGATTTACTTTGCATGAACAAGAAGAGTTTGATAGTGGATTAGTTTTGATCAAGGATTGAAGAATGAGTCAAGAATGCATAAGTGAAGAAATACCAAGCAAAGGTTAAATGACAAAGGACACAACTCATATTGGATATAAGTCGGTCTCTATGTTGGTTTGCTTGTATGGATAAAGATTTGGAAAATCACTTTGCATTGATTTGATCAAGCTAGAAGTATGAAGATAGATATTGAAGTGAGTGTTAGGAGTGTCAAGCCAAGATGAAGAGGACATAAGGAATCGTGAATTGGCTTGATCATATTGATGTTGAATCATATATCTCAATCTATGTGAATCCAACTGAAGCTTGATTGATCTCAATATTCATATCTAGAAGATATTCAAGCAAGGATCATAATATTAAAGAAATGGTTTTTCAATGGATGCTTAATATGATGTGACTTGAGTATGGCTTGATAAGGTTGAAAGGTCCTAATGGCTAGAGGGGGGTGAATAGCCTATTAAAAAATTTCTACAATGACACTTAGCAAATATGTTAGACAATTAAACGGCGAAGCGAGTGTTGCACTAGCCTAATAAAAGTAAGCCACCTACCAT